GGCTCGGNTTTTTCCCAGTTCCGCCCTGGCGGCCGCCGTGGTCGACGTACGACGCTTGCGGGCGCCTTCCGTTCGCCGCCGGCCGCTGGGCGACGCCTTGTGGCGTAGCGCGAGCTCATGTTGCTCTGCGGCGGCGGCGGGCTGGCCTTGCTGTCGCCACCGCCGTGCTTGGCCTCCCAGCTGTTGAGCTCGCGCAGCAGCTGGGCGACCGTGGGGCAGCTCGTCTCTGGATCGAATTCGTGCACCTTGCGCGGGTCGATGGGCACGCACACCTTGCCCGTGGCCGGGTGGACGACAAACGGCGACTTGAGCAGGTGGTTGAGGTGCTTGGACACCTCGGCGTCGATGCGCGGGTAGGTGTACTGGAGGATCACGTCCTCGAGGCACGGCTTCCACACCTTTGCGCTGCGCACCTCGCCCGACTTGTGCGCCGCCTCCATGACGTCGCCCCACTTGTCGAGGCTGCTGCGGTTGGGCGAGCGCTCCCACTTGGCGCGCAGCCGCTCGACGGCCTCGGACTCGCCCGACGGCAGCAGCTGCAGCAGCACCTCCCAGTGCTCGCGGCGCCGGAAGCAGTCCTGGTCCTTGAGCACCGTGTCGACAAACGCCAGCTTGAGCGGCCCGCTCGCCGGCCCCTCGCCGCCAATGGCGCGCCGCAGGCTCGGGTGGAGCGAGCGCGTGGCCGAGCCGGGCGTGAAGCCGGCGTCGACCTTTTTCACCTGGTTGGCGCTGCCCTTGACCACCTCGAGCCAGCCCACGATGGCCTTGCGCGCGTCGTCGCCGAGCTCGCATGCCGCCTTGTCCGACACCCAGCAGTGGATGCCGCGGCGGCCCGAGTAGACCCAGAGGAGGTGCCGGAAGCCAAAGTCGGTGCGGAGCGCCTCGTCGAGGACGTCGACGGCGACGGCGATAAAGGCCCAGCAGCGGCGGCAGATGCCCTTGCCCGAGCAGCAGGTGCGCACCTCGTCGTAGTCGGTCATGTCGATGTCGAGCACCAGCTCGCGGTAGACGGGCCGGAAGCTCGCCTTCTGCACCGTCTTGCGGTCCTTTGGCTTGGCGCTGTAGACGGGCCCGATCTCGAAGCGCGACGGGTTGAGGCGGCACACCTGGTTCTTGAGCTCGTCGGCGTTGGCAAACGAGTTGTAGCGCAGGTAGGCGTCGTTCTGCAGCGTAAAGGCAAACTCGCGGTGCGTCCAGTTGCGGCCGGGAAGGTGGGGCAGGTCCTGGTTGAGCCAGGTGAAGAGCTGCTTCCACGGCAGCAGGCGGCGGTAGAAGAGGCGCATCGACATGGGGTCCGACGAGTCGCGCGCATCAATCTGGCGCTCGTCGATGGCCGAGATGGCCCGCTCCAGCTCCTGCGAGTTTTCGTCTTCGAGGTCCAGATCGACGTCCATGTCCGGCGGCGGCGGACGCGCGGCCGGAAGGGCGGCAGGCACGGTGGCGGTGGCGGCGGCGGCGGCGGCGGCGACGGCGGCCATGTTGTGTTGCAGTGGTGGAGAGAAGGAAAGAAGGTGAAAAGGGAGGCAGGGAAGGAGAAGGACGGCCGAAGAGGACAGGCAGCTGCGAACAGGTGGTGGTGGTGGTGGTGGTCCGCGAGCAAGGGAGCGCCGGCGTCGGCCAGGACCAGGCAGGCGAGAAGCCCTAAGCCCGGGGCCCGCGACGCGACCGAGACCCTTTACGCGACCTGCTAGCGTCTGAGCGTGCCGGCCAGTGGATCGGCGATGTTGCCCATCGGGCGCTGCTTTGGGAAAGCCGCTCGAGGCTCCCGATCGCTCTCAGGCAGAAGCCTCACTCTTCCGCCCTCGCCCTCTGTCTTCCGCAGTCGAGAGTCCCTCATGGCTGGCCATCGGAGCCTTTGATGTCGCTAGTCTGCCGACAGGACCTAGCCTGAGTCGTAGAGCGGCAGCGGCTCGAACGGTGTCCGAGGCGGTGGTGGTGGTGGTCGGACGAAGAGCCGTCAGTCGGCTGTTGGGGTGGAGGCTGGATCCACCCAAATTGGCAGCTCACGATCCCGCCCTCGTTCCGATCCCGCCACCACCAACGACCACCGTATCCACCATGCCCAAGGTCATCTCCAGAGTACGTCGATGCCGCGCCCGTCCAGAGCACGTCTCCACAACGCGCCCTTGCGCTGACGCTCCTCCCTATCGACGCAGTCTACAATCTCGGCCTCGGCGGGAGAGGGCAGCGCGTCGTCGGCGCTCAAAGTCTACTACTGCCTGTGCGGCGAGTTCGTGCTGGTGTGCGACCGCCCGCTCGACCAGCTCCCCGTCCGCCCGCTCGACGGCGCCAGCGTGCTGCGCTGCCTCGACTCCTCGGCCATCTCGGAGACGGGCGCGGCGCAGAAAGTCAAAAAGGCCCGGGTGTTCAAGGTCAGCGCTCGGCAGGGTCGACCCAAGATGATCAAGAGGTGAGCGAATGGAGTCGATCCCCGGTGAAAGAGGGCGAGACGGTCGAAGAGGAGGGGCAGGAGAAGGAGGACCGTGGGACTGACCCGAGATCGCGACCCATCTTGGCCCCCCCTCCTCGACGCATCGACTGGCACGCACGGTAGAGAGGACGGATCGATCGAGAAGCAGTACCCCTTCAACTGCTCGCGGTGCGACCTCGAGATCGGATACGAGCACACGCCGCCCCCGCTCAAGAGCGGCGGCAAGTTTACCTTTGTGCTGCCCGGCGCCCTCACGTACGTCGTCCCCCGCGCTGCCCCCGTCGGTCTAGGGCCCAGGCGGGGCCTTGTTGCTCGACAACGACCCACTGACTCTTCGCCTCGCACCACCATCCCTTTGCCCTCCGCAGCGACCGCCAGGGTATCCCACCGCCCAACGTCTTCCTCGACCAGGAGGAGCCAAAGGGCGACGGGGCCGACGAAGCACCGGGCAGCCTCGACTGAGCTCGGCGCCCCCTTCTCGTCGATCATGTACTTGTATCGCGCGTTGTACCATCAAACTTGGACATCACATCGGTCCGGCTGGCTGGCTGGCTGGCTGGCTGGCTGGCTGGCTAGCTGGCTGGCTGGCTAGCTGGCTGTCTGTGGAAGCACGTATCGAATTACGCGGAGAGACGGGCAGAGAACAAACGGCAACAAGAAGAAGAGGAAAGAAGAGAGGACGAGATGCTAGCGAGAGACAGGAAAGAGCAGCGAGGCTACTCGACGGAAAGGAGGACGAAGGTGAAGGGATGTATTCGGGTATTTGCTTGCTTTATCCGCATACGAGATGGGGGGGATCGGGGGCGCCTTTGCGCGCCGGGGAGCGCGGCGCCTTAGACGGCCTGGGGGCGGGGCGAGCTGCGGCCGAGGCCGAGCTCCTTCTCGAGCTGCTCGGCGACGCCCGTGACGGTGCGCTCGCACTTGCCCGTGTTGAGCAGGCCGGCGTCGTGGACCGAGGTGGTGGTGGCGCCGAGCTTGCCGCCGCCGGCGAGGAAGTCGGCCTTGCTGATGGGCTTGTGGGCGGTGCTCTCGTGGACGATGGGAGCCTCGTGGGTGACGACCGTCGAGGGGATGACGGTCTTGATGCGGTGGTACTCGTGGCTGTCCTTCTCGACAATGGGCTGGACGACGTTGTGGATGTGGTGGTGGATCTGCTCCTTGACGCGCTCGCCCTTGTCGACGACGGTGCGGTCGGTGCCCAGGTCGCGGTACTCGTCCTTGTGCTTGCCCGCCACCGACGTGAGCAGCGCGGCGTCCTTGTCGGTCGAGGCGTGCGTCTCGGCAATGTGGGTGCGCGGCACCACCTTCTGGTGGACCTGCTCGGCCGCGTGCTCCGAGTCGTAGACCGGCTGCGTGTGGTGCTGGATGTGGTGGACGTGCTTGTGGTGCTCCTTCTCGCGCTCCACCTCCTCGACCTCGTGGCGCTGGTGGCGCTCCTTGGTGACGTGCGCCAGGTGCTGCACGTCCTGGTCGACGTCGCCGCGGCTCAGGTCGAGGTGCTCGTTCTTGAACTCGTGGCCGTGCGTGTGGCGCATCATGCCATCCTTGGTGTGCACGTCGGCGCTACGGCCGACGCCGGGCACGACGGGGCTGGTCGTGGACGAGGTGTGGTCGCGGTGGGTGCCGGCGGCGGCGGCGGTGCCAGCAGCGGCCGTGGTGCCGGCGGCGGCGGTGGTGCCGTGGTGGTGGGTCTTGTTGCCCTCGAGCTTGTCCTCGATCTTCTCCATGGTCGACCTCTTGTCCTTGGGCGAACCGTGCTGGGAGGTGGCCGCAGTCGAGTTGCTGTGGCGGCGCTCGTCGAGGCTGTTGTCGGAGCTCGAGCGCGACGACGAGCCGGAGAGGACCTTCTTGACGGTGTTCATGATGGTCGCAGCGAGTGTGCTGGTGAAGAAGTGGAAGTAGAGATAGAGAGAAAGGCGCTGAGGCGAAGGGTTGGAGCTTGCTGTCGCTGTGAAAGCAGAGGATGGAACGCAGTGCTGTGTGTTGATGAGGGAGGATGAAGATAGAGCGACGACGAGGGCAGTCTATATATGCTCGCCCTCGCCGGCCACGGTCGAGGGCCAGGCAGCAGCCTCCAGAGGCCAAGTGTGAGCGAGCGTAGCGGCAAAGGGACTGGCCACAGCGGCGGCCTCGTCGTCGACGTCGTGAGTGAGGACGGTCATGACATCACGGCCGGTCCCACCCAGCCGGCCGTCCGACGGTAAGCTTGGCGACCAACGTGATCTCGATGAATCGCTTTAGAGCTCGCCATCATGTGGCTCTACGGCGGCGGCGGCCGTGCTCGAGTCGCGCCGGGTCACGGTAGGCAGGGCTTGCGTAGCGCACGGCGGCCTCGTCATAGCCTCGTCCTGCATGGGGCTGAGGCAGATGCCGGTGTGGTCTGAGGACTGGCGCTCTTCTCTCGCACAGCCTGGCCGGGCCGCAAGGCAGGCTGGGGCGGCCGTGACGATGGTGTCTCGCCAGGCGCGGGCAAGGAGGGCAAGAAGGCGGACCGACCGCGTCAGAGCTGCTGATGGTCGGGCGGCCGGTGGAGGAGGGCAAAAGCTTGAGAGCAAGGCGAGGCTGTCGATGTGGTGCTGGGACTTGTGCTGCTGGTGTCACCCACCGCTCGCAACCTGGGAGGGAGGACGCGATGACGATGAGGCGAAGGGGGGGGGGGGGGGGGGCACGACGACGAGGTGGACGGCGACGAGGACCGAACGGCCCGGACGGGAGGGGACGGTCGAGCGCGGGCGGAGCAAGGTCGGTTGCCTGTCGCCTTGACACGACGGCGTTCAGGCGCAAGAC